AAAGAGGACAATAGTGCCAAAATGGCTACATGTGAAGCCTCAAAGAAAAATGTAATTTGGTCTCCAGCTCAAACATCATTCCTGGAAGAGCCTAAAAAGCAAACTAGAGGAGTAGAAGAAAAATTGGGAAAAGAAATGAGAGTAATGCAAGAGAATCATGAAAAAAGAATCAATAGTATGGGAAACGATATACAAAAATTTGCTGAGGAAAATAATTTCCTAAAAAATAGAATTGGCCAAATGGAAAAGGAAGTACAATAGCTCAATAAAGAAAATAATTCCTTAAAAATTAGAATTGAATAGGTGGAAATTAATAACTCTATGAGACATCAAGATATGATAAAACAAAATTTAAAAAAAATTTAAAAAAAGAAGAAATGTGAAATTCCTCATGGGGAAAACAACTCACCTAGAAAATAGATCCAGGAGAGATGATATAAGATTTATTGGACTGCCTGAAAGCCATGATCAAAAGAAAAAAAATGCCTGGACAACATCTTTTAAGAAAGTATACATATATATATAAACTGCCTTGATATATTAGAACCAGAGGAAAAAATAGAAATTGAAAGAATCCACTGATCACCACCTGAAAGAGATCCCAAAATGAAAACTCCTAGGAACATCATATCCAAATTCCAGAGCTCACAGATCAAGGAGAAAGTATTGCATGCAGACAAAAAGAAATAATTCAAATTTCATAGAGCTACATACGGGATTACACAGGATTTGGTAGATTCTACATTAAAGAACTAGAGGGCTTGGGATATGATATATGAGAAGGCAAAGGAATTAGTATTGGAACCAAGAATCACCTACCCAGCAAAATTGAATATAATCTTTCAGGGAAAAAAAATGGATATTTAATGAAATAGAGGACTTTCAAGCATTTCTAATTAAAAGACCATAGCTGAATAAAAAATTTGATCTCCAAATACAAGATTCAAGGGAAACATAAAAAGGTAAAAAAGAAATAGGAAAGAGAAAACATAAGAAATTCAATAATGTTAAACTGCTTATATTTCTATATGGCAAGATAATATTTGTAAATCTTAACAATTTTATTACTATAAGAGCAATTAGAAAGAGTATATGTAGACAGAGTGTGTGGATATAAGGTGATTTTGATGGGATGATGCCCCAAAAAACAAAATAAAGGGGTGAGAAATAAAATTGCACTGGAAGAAGAAGGGGGGAAGATCAATTGGGGTAAATTATCCCACATAACAGAGTCATGAAAGAGTTATGATGCAGAAAGCTAGAAGACTTCCCAATACAACCAGTGGTGAAGCAAGGATTCCCATTATCACCTCTCTTATTTAATATTGTACTAGAAATGTTAACCATAGCAATAAGAGAAGAAAAAGAAATTAAAGAAATTAGAATAGGCAACGAGTAAACAAAACTATCATTCTTTGCAGACGATATGATGCTACACTTAGAAAATCCTAGAGAATCAACTAAAAAACTGGTTGGAATTATTAACAACTTTAGCAAAGTTGCAGGGTACAAAATAAACCCACAGACATCATCAGAATTTCTATATATTACCAACAAAGTCCAGCATCAAGAGATAGAAAGAGAAATTCCATTTGAAATAACTGTAGACAATATAAAATACTTGGGAGTCTACCTGCCAAGACAAACCCAGGAACTATATGAACACAACTATAAAACACTTTTCACACAAATAAAGTTAGATCCGAACAATTGGAAAAACATCAATTGCTCATGGGTAGGGTGAACTAATATAATAAAAATGGCAATTCTACTAAATTTATTTATTAGTGCCATACCAAACTATCAAAATTATTTTATAGAGGTAGAAAAAATAGTAACAAAAATTCATCAGAAAAAAACCTCAAGGATATCAAGAGAATCAATGAAAAAAAATATGAAAGAAGGTAGTCTAGCCATACCAGATCTTATACTGTAAAGCAGTAGTTATCAAAACAATCTGGTACTGGCTAAGAAATAGAGTGGTAGATCAGTGGAATAGATTAGGTTCAAATTACATTATATTAAATGACCATAGTAATCTAGTAAATGATAAACCCAAAGATTCAAGCTTTTGGAACAAACTTACTATCTGACAAAAACTGCTGGGAAAACTGAAAAACATTATGGCAGAAACTAGGTATAGACCAACATCTCACACTGTATACCAAGATAACATTACAATGGATACATGATTTAGACATAAAGGGTGATACCATAAACAAATTAAGAGAGCATGGAATAGTTCATCTGTCAGATTTATGGATAAGGGAAGAATTTAGGACCAAAGAAGGTATAAAGAGCATTACAAAATATAAAATAGATGGTTTTGATTATATAAAATTAATAAGTTTTTGCAGAAACAAAACCAATGCAATCAAAATTATAAGGAAAGCAGAAAACTGGGGAGGGGGGAATTTTGCAACAAGTACCTCTGATAAAGGCCTCATTTTTCAAATATATAGAGGACTGAGTCAAATTTATAAATATACAATTCATTCCCCAATTGATAAGCGGTCAAAGGAATTGAACAATTTTCAGACAAAGAAATCAAAACTACCTATAGTCATAATAAAAATTGCTTTATGTCACTATTTCTTTTTTCTTTTATGCATTTGGGGTTAAGTGACTTGTCCAGAGTCACACAGCTAGTAAGGGGCAAGTATCTGGTATGGATTTGAAGTCAGGTCCTCCTGATGCCAGGGCTGGTGCTCTATCCACTGTGACATCTAGCTGGACATCTATACCACTATTGATCAAGAGAAATGAAAACTAAAACAACTCTGAGGTACCACCTTGTACCTATCAGAGTGACTGATATGACAAAAAAGGACAATGATAAATGTTGGAGAAGATGTGGGAAAATTAGAACACTAGTACATTGTTGGTGGAGTTGTGGAATGATCCAACCATTTTGGAGAGCACTTTGGAACTATGCCCAAAGGGCTATAAAGTTTTGTGTATAATCTTTGATCCAGTAATACTACTGCTAGGTCTATATCCCAAAAACATCCAAAAAAGAGAAAAGGACCTATTTGTAAGAAAATATTTACAACAACTCTTTTTGTAGTGGCTAAGAATTGGAAATTAAAGGGATGCCCATCAATTAGGGAATGGCTAAACAAGCTGTAGTATATGATTATAATGGAATATTATTGTGCTATAAGAAATGACAAGCAGTATGACTTCAGAAAAACCTTGACTTACATGAACTGATGCATAGTGAAGTGAACAGAACCAGAGGACATTGTACACACTAACAGCAATATTGTATGATGAAGAATTGTAAATGACTTAGCTGTTCTCAGCAATATAATGATACAAGACAATCCCAAAAGACTAATGATGAAGCATACTATCCACCTCCAGAGAGAGAACTGATATCGATTGAATAGAGACTGAAGCATGCTATTTTCACTTCCTTTTATTTTTTCTTTTATTTGAGTCTTCTTGTACAATATGGAAATGTTTTATATAATAGCACATGTATAACCTATATCTGATTGCTTATCATCTCAGGGAAGGGAAGGAGAGGGAGAGTGAGAGGGAGGGATAGAATTTAGAACTCAAAACTTTAAATAAAAATGTTAAAAATTGGAAAAAAATGAATCTTAAATAAAAGGAAAAAAGAATTGGGACACAATAACTCATAAACTTATGAACATTGATCAAAAATCTAGTTATCATATCAAAGGTAGCAAAAAGATGGTGAACTTCATAGTATATGTCTACAGGAATTTAGAAAGAAAAGTAATGATCACTATGTACTCATCAAGAAGGGTTCATACCACTTTTTTGACAGGCATACTAGACTGGCAGTTCAGTGCTAAGCCATAAACATAGTATATCTGGATTTTAGCAAGATATTTGATAAGATTCCTTATGATATCCTAGTGGACAAAATGGAGAGACATGAATTATTTGATGGTACAGTAAGATAGATTGAGAAATAGTTGAATGCTAGACTAAAAAAATAGTGACTTCCTGGGGGAAGTCTTCAGTGGAGTGCCATGGGACTCTGTCCTTGGCCCTGTTCTCTTCTACCCTTATTTTAGTGATTTGGATGAAAGTACAGATGGCATGCTTATGAAATATGCAGATGAATGAAGCTTATAGGACTAGATAAAATGCCAGAGAAGGGTCAAGGTTCAGTCTTGCGGGAACTTGACCTCTAATGAGAGATTAAGTTCCCTTTTCTTACATTCTTCAGACAGTTACATCTTTATCTTACAACTTCAAGGACAATTTACTTAAAATTTAAGTTTTGGATAATGTCTAAAGTATCCTAAGATGTGGTGGGAGAGTATAAAGGTATTCAGTGTATGATATGAATCATGTATGGGACAGTTATTTATTTTCTATACACAAAAGAAATGTGAAACATAAAAAAAAGCGTACATTGACAGAAAGACTTAACACAGGATCCAATAACTTAATATAGCCCCAGTTATACTCCCCTGAGTAGTATAACTTAAGTCTTATCAGAACATAAAGCAGTTTGTGAAATAGCTGAATAAGCATGGCTACATTTCATCTCAGTTCTGTATCACTCCCCTCATGGTAGATGTTCTCTGGCAAGGTGGGCCTTAATTCACAAGTGGTCAGTAGGTTACTGTTTTACTTCCTCCCAGATAATATATTTAGATTTGATGAGGACCTTCAATACCTTTATCAAAAGAATAAATCCATGATGGGAACTGTAAGTTCTGTAGCAGGTATGTAAAAAAGAGGTACTGGTGGGGCAAGATGATTTTTGATGTGGCTTAAATCCCACTGTACAGGCATCTGTCCAATTACTCTACCCAATGAACCTTTTCTATACAGGTTTATCTGTTATACTTCTGTATTGGCATGAGTATTTAGCAATAATATAACATTAATTAAATTAAGCAAGGCTGTTCATGTCTAAGCCCCACTAGGCATCTGTTTTTTTTCCCCTAGAAACATACAACAAGATGTACTCTCAGAGTGTGCTTGACTGACCACAAGACTGAGAACAATTAATGAAATCCCTGAGGTCCTATTCTCCATGCTCTTGCCAGGATCTGGATCACTTCCAGGTATAGGTATCACTCACTTTACAAAATAGATGCATTTCCTCTAAGAGAGTTCCTATGATGTGGGACTTGACTTCCATTATGAAACTAGAGATATGTCCCCAGAAAAGAATAAAAACAAAAACCAACTTCCTCAAATAGCCTGAGTGGCTTGAGAAATGGAAACAATCAGCCTTATATTACTGTAGAAAATTCAGGAAGCTAGAGGTATCCTATTAAATAAAATTAGTGAAATTCTTTGCTTCGATTGTGAGAAAAGGATGTAATATAGTATAAAGGAAGAATAAATAAGGAGAAACAGTACAAAGGGCATCACCAAAGAAATGTATGGCAAAATAAAAAGGTGGGTTGGTTATCTAATGGGAATCTATGTGCTTCATTGATATAAACATAATGTCAAGAGAATATGTGCAAGGTTCATGTTGGACAGGACCCTTGGAACTAATTTTCAGGGAGACATGGACAAGATTGTGCCAAGATGGGCATCCATGGCAATGGTAGATCCAATACTTTTCTCAGTGGTTAGCTCGAGAGTGGTTAGCATCGAAGATGGCAGGGTAGCAGGAATAAGTGTGGCAAATTCCCCTACCAAAACTCCTTTAAACATCTTTAAACTACACCAGATTGAATCTTGTCATGGAAATCCAAGAAAAAAAATCACAGTGAGACATTTCTTCCAGTCCAGGTCAGCATAAGGAGATAGACTGAGATGTCTATGGACATTGGGATGAGGTCTGGCCAGGGACATATGGAGTACTCTAGTGTAAAGAGAGGTTACGATCCAGGAAAAGAGGTCCAAAAGTCATGCTAGGGCATGAAACTACCTGAAGGAAGCAGGAACAGGTATGTGCCAACTGTCAACTTTTTAGCTCACTAGCCAATTCCAGGTGAAAGATCCAGGATAGACAGAGGTGACCTGCACTTAGGAGTGACATTCCTACATAAAGAGTAGTCACAGACCCTGGGCTGTGTACCCAGAGAGGAGCAAAGTTAGGAACAAACAGACTATTCCTGGCTGGTACTTGAGGAGCAGAGCAGGGTCTAGGTTCCAACATCCAGCCTAGTCTGAAGCCTGAAGACAAATAGCCAGGGTAGGGATCTCAAATGAAAGGGACACCTGAAGTTTTGTTACCGAACCAAGAGCTTCCCAACTGGCTGATAGTGGCTAAGTCTAGCATAGAGCAAAACTCAAGTCAGTGTGCTTCAGACTAGGGGGCCAGTGATCAGATTTTGCCTTTGATCAAATTACTTACGGAGGACTAATACCTTGCAGGTCCCTACCTTGACCTTTCTCTGAGAGCCTAGAATAAAATATTACTCAATACCCCAAGAAAGCAGCAAAAGGATGAGCGCAGAAATTTCTTCCAGAACTGTTCAGTCTGGCTGTCTGTCCAAAGTCAGGAAGTAAGCTGGAAGAGTGAGCAAACATAGAAAGAATCACAACATAAAGCTATTATGGTAACAAGGATGCTTACAGCATAAACTCAGAAGAAAGAGAATGGATTCCTAAACATGTATAAGCAAAACTTCAAAGAAAAACACAGTGTGGGAACAAAGTTAACTAGAATTCTTGGAAGAGATGAAACAAGAGTTAAAATTATTTTAAAAATAAAATGATAATGCTAGAGGAAAAAATGGGGAAAGAATTGACAGTGAGATGAAGCCAAGATGGCAGTGATAGGAAACAATGCAGTGAGCTCTTCTCTATGAATTTCTCCTAATAGCTCTAGAAAATGAACCAGACTGAATCCTAATGGGGAAATCTAGAAAAAAGTCACAGTGAGTCATTTGTTTAGTCAAGCTCAGCATAGGGAGAAAAATGAAGAAATCTGTGGACACTGGGATTGGGCCAGGAACTTGATGTGGGTGGAGAACTCCACTACTGAGGGAGAGGCTTTGCATCAGGGCAAGAGGATAGCTCACACGCATTCCAAGGCAGCCCCAGACCCACACAGCACATTGTGATGGGGTATAGGTGCCAAATAGCAGCTTAGTTACCCGTTAGTCAGTCCTGAGTTGAACATCAAGGGCAGAGTGAGATGGAGAACTTCACATTGAAATGGCATTCCTGGGTAGGGAAGCCCTGGGGGGTGTATGGAGAAATGGGGAAGTTCAGAAGCCAGAAGCAGCAGCAGCAGCAGCAGCCGCAGCAGCAGCAGCAGCAGCGGTATGTCTCAGACCTCAGGTTCAAAGTAGGGCCTCACTTTTAGTGTCTATCCCAGCCTGTAGAGGAATAACAAGGGCAAGAATCCTAGACCAAAAGAGATCGCACAATTCTGCCACTCTGAGCAAACAGAGTTTTCTAGTTGGCTGATAGAGGTGGAGTCCAGCAGCAGTCTACTCTTGCTCAAACCCAAACCCAGATCAAGAATTTTAAAACTCAGACTAAGGGACTAGTAATCAGGCTTTCCCCCATATCAGACCACTTTGGGAGCATTGAAAGCTTATAGCACCCTAGCACATTCCTGATATCGTGGAATAACACAACACTCAAAACTCTAATAAAGCAGCAACAAGGCTAGCGGAGACCTTCTCTCTAGAAGTAACATCAAGTCCAAAGTCAGGAAGAAGGCTTGACAGATAGGCAAACAAAAAAAGAACCCCAGCATAATCAACTATTATGGTGGCAGAGATGCTCAAGACACAGATACAGAAGAGAATGAATGCAAAATATCTACAAGAACTGCCTCAGAAAAACACATTTGGGTACAAACTCAACTAAATTTCTGGAAGAGATAAAACAAGAGTTAATTTTTTTTAAACAAATGGAATGAGAGTGCTTGAGGAAAAAAACTAAAAGGAAATGAGAGCTAAGGAAGGAAGACTTAGGGAATTAACAACTTGGCACAAAAATAGCGAAACCTTGCCCGAACAACACACTCCCTGAAAATGTGAATTGACCAAATAAAAGCCAATGACTTCATGAGGTAGCAAGACATATTAAATCAAAGTCAGAAGGTTGGAAAAAAAATAAGAAAAAATGTAAGGCATCTCATAGAAAAAAAGCTGACTTGCAATACAGCTCAAGGAGAAAAAAAATTAAAACTCATTGAACTATCTGAATTCCATGACCAAAAAAAAAAAAAAAGAACCTAGACATCACATTTCAAGAAATCTTAAAACTACTCAGATTCTCTTAGAACTAGAGGACAAAATGGGAATAGAATCCACCTGTCATTTCCTGAAAGAACCCCAAAGTGAAAACTTCCAGGAACATCATACCCAAAATTTAGAGCTTCCAAGTCAATAAAAAAGTACCACAAGCAGCCAAAAAGAAAGAGCTTAAGACTGAGGAGCTACAATCAAGATCACATACAACGTAGTCATCATATTGTAGGAGAGGAGAACTTGGAATATGGTATTTCAGAAGGTAAAAGCTATGGCCTTACATTGAAGAATAACTCATCCAGCCAAACTGATTATTATATTACACGGGAAAAATGGGCATTTAGTGAAATAAAAGACTTCCAGGCACTCATAATGAAAAGACTAGCTCTACATAGAAACTTTGTAATGTAAATGCAGCAGTGAACAGAAGCATAAAAAGGTAAACGTGAAAGAACAACGTTAAAGAACTGAACAAGGAAAAACTACTTAAATTTAAACATGGGGAGATGATACATGTGCCTTCTCTAAACACTATTATCATTAGAATTCATAGAGGAGTGCCATTAGACGAGGTCTGGGAGTTATTCTGTTATGTCTTGTTGATCTTAAGAAAAGAATGGAAAGAGAGGGAAAGAGGGATACACTATAGGAAGTGGGGAGAAGGAAAAGGAAAGTTAGGAAAAATTATTTCACAAAATGCAGGTGCACAAGCAAATATCTCTATAAGTGAGGAGAAAAAGGTGTGAGGGGGTAGCTGACACTTGAATCTCAATCTCATATGAACTTGTCAAAAGGAGGAAGAAGACATACACAGAGAATTGGGTACAGAACTACATTTCATTCAATGCAGAAATAGGAGGGAAAGGGGATAAACTACTAAACTGAAGGGAGGAGGGGGAGTTAGAGGGAGGGTAGATTAAGGGAGGGTCTGGCCTAAGCAAAATAAATTCTAACCAAGGAAATACAAAAATATTTATAGGTCTTATCAAGGTGACAAAGAATGAGAACTTGGAGGGTCCATAAACTAGGGAATGGTTGAGTAAGTTATGGCATATAAATATGATGAAATTCTATTGTGCTATAATAAATGAAGGGAATGTTTTCAGAAAAACCTGGGAAGATTTGTATGAACCAATGCAGGATAAAGTGAACAGAGCCAGGAGAAAAACTTAAATAATAATAACAGTATTGTAAAGCTAAGCAGTTTTGAAAGACTTAGGAATTCTTATCAGATTAATGACCAACCACAGAGGACTAATTAATGATGAAACACTCTATTCACCTCCTGATAAAAAGGTGAAAGGCTCAAGAATTTGGAATGAGATATATACATGTATACAATCTACATATGTATGCATGTATATATATATATCATATATGCTTATATATAGATATATTCTTTTGGATACGGTCAATGAAAAAATATATTTTGCTTGACTATACATGTTTTTAACAGTGTTGCTGTTTTTGTTGTTCTCAGTTGGATGGGGGTGGTAGGGAGAGAAGGCAGATTTTTACTGATTTATAAAAATAAAATTTAATTTATATAGTAACATCCCAGAGTCTCTTGCTAAGAGAGTTAGAAGAGATAAATAGATTCAGTCTCTAATTTCTTTCTGTTCTCATCATAACTTCAAAACACAAGGAATGAAGTAAAGGAGTAGAATACCTCATAGAATCCCTTATTTCATTGCAGATTCAACTCAAGCTCCACCTTCTACATCAAGCCTTTCTTGATCCGCTGAACTATTAGTGCCTTCACTCCTTAAGTGAATTTGGATTTATTTTGTATATGTACATATTGTCTTCCTTAATAGAATGTAAACTCCCTGAGAGCAGGAGCTCTTTTGCTTTTGTCTTTGTATCCCCAACACCAGCATAGTGACTGATGCATA